ATAAGACTTTAGAGAACCTATATATTCTAATAACTATCAATAGCTAATAACCAGATATTTAAAAACCATCCATATTTTAACAACATCTAAGCTTTTCTATCGAAATATCTAAAATTTAATTAATATCTGAAACAGGATTTGGAAAAGCAATTCGAAGCAGAAATGATTGAGAACACATCTATCGAGGTATTACGTACACCGTGTAAGTAAATGCATACGCTTAGTTGGTAACTCTATCTGAAGCCTCGGGATAACTGTAAGCCTCTCGAAACTTTCGTGTACATGTGGCAAGCAACGACTAACAGAAATTCCAGGAGAAAAGTGGTTTTAAAAAAAACTAAAATAGAGAAACGCTCGCTAGACGGCTGCCGTTCGTCTGAATTTTTCATTTACACTCGCTACTCAATTACGTGGAGGATTTATCACGTTGAAGCATGTTTTGCAGCGGACAGGCTGAACTGCAGCGCGGAGGCCAACTGCAGGATAAGCTTTGGCTAAATAATTGCGCCGTGTCGCGACGCACCTCTGGGCCACTTCTGCTCCTTTCTTTCGCAGTTCTTCTCGTTCTCGCGAGCCTCTCGCCTTTCAAACTTCACGGAAACGTTTAAGCCCTTCTCCGTCACCGTTTTCTGTTCGTTGGTCTCTCGGTGCTTCTGTACTCGTCGTCGGTTTTTTTATCTAATTAAGAGGCGGTCATTTGTTATCGTTGGACAAAGTTCAAGGTTTTTATTCGATGAATAGTTGCTGTTACTTTTTGCGGACGATTCGATAAGATAACATGAGGTTGTTGCGTAATGAATGACATTTTTTTTAAACAAAAGGAACGAATAAGCTTAGCTTGTTTTGAAAGGACAATTTTTAATCAAGACAAAAATAATGTGAATGTACGAACAAAATAATACAAACGGAGATAATTGTCGGATATTTTATGATTTTTAAATTAGTAAAACAAAAACTCGCACATCGAAGAACGACATTTATTATCCATTATGCAACAAACTGGTAGAAGAAATACGTGTGACGAATTTTATACTTGTTTCAAGGAAGATGATTTTTAAATTACTAAAGCAAAAGCTCACACATCAAAGAACTGCGTTTATTATCTATTGTGCAACAAACTGGTGGAAGAAATATGTGTGACGAATTTTATATTTGTTTCAAGGAACAGGTAATCGCTGAAGTTATTTTCCTAACAACGATCATCGTCATTTTATATTTTCTAAAATTAACAATTATAGAAACTATTTTGCAAAGAGGTTCAAATATGAATTCAGTTGAATTTAATTTTTATTTGTTTACGACTAAAGTGTTGAATGTTAAAAATTGTTCAAATATTCACGTATAAAGATACGTAATAGAATATTCTTTAAAGAAATGTAAGAAGTAAAAAAAGCGAAAAAATATAAATCACGGTTTACGAAAGAAAGGTTAACGTTGATTTAAGAGAAATCTATAATCGAGCAAAGAGTGGAAACAATAAACGAAACAATAAATCAGCAACAAACGGACAGTTCCTGATGGCGCTCTATTATCATCTATTGATTGATGTTGATACGAACTGGCCCATCATTTATGGTAACGTTGCATGTAACATGGATAGCTCGTGGCTTGATTTAGATCGATGTTTCGCATGTAACTTCGTGCTGGACAGTCGTTAATAAACAAACAATTCTTATGGTTTATGCATGAAGGAAGGATGAAAGAAAATATGCAAACTATTTGAAAAAATAAATGGTTCCATATTCTGTGAAAAAAAAAGTTTTTTAAATTAATATTTTCAAAATGAAAGGACAGTACCTATCATATGAACGTATATATATTTTTGAGGAAAGTAATTTCCATAAAACTATAAGTTTATAGGTGTTTAAATTTACAATTAAATTCTACGAATATTTATATTTCTCGTAAGGATCTTCGACATTGTATTTTAGATGCTTTTCACAAAATCACACGAATATCTTTCGCTATGAATGTTGCTGGCTAATTTACGGAATTATAAAAATCATTTCCTATCTGATCAACCTCAAAAGCAGGAAAATGCAGAACCAGCCACTCATACATCAATTTCACCGAGCGGTGAACAAAACACTTATGATCTAGTGCAGCGACACGCGTCATTTTTACAACCCTCTCAATAACACTGCGTTGCAGCAACACACAGATTTGCATGAACAAATTTACACGCGATACGATCTCTGTTAGCAACTTGTCACCTGGTTTACATCTGCAAAGAAGCTAGGTATGGAAAACAAACGTTGACCGTTAGCGTCAAATCCATGTTCTAACACGATAGCAAGTTACATTCGGAATTACATTTAGTTAATCCGCAGAAAAGAAAATTACGAATCCAAAAGAATCGTCTATTTTAAGATATCTGTAAAATTTAATTCTAGAAAGGGACAATTTATTCCCTACTAAAATTATACTTATATTGTTCAAAACAATTAGTAGATCGCTGTTGCATTACGAACTCAAAATAACAAGACGAACATATTAAAGAAAAATGTGCAGATATAAAGAATAAGTTTTCCCCTCTTGATCTATTTGCAGTATTAAAATGAATTTAAATAAAGAATTCCGATACGAAAATTACATAATAGAATAGATAATAAACATAGTAAATTATTTGATTTCGCTTTGTCACTTTCAAGTGCGCTTACGTTTAAAATTGCAAAAATAATTTCAATCAGATTTTTAGACCAAATCCAAACGCTCTGCTATAAGACGACTTTTCAAATATCGATAGTTTGCGATCGGAAAACTGGAAAAGGATTTTAGTACTTTCAGCTGTTAGTTTTCACTTATATCAACTTTTTAACAAAGCAATTACACGAACAATAATAAAGTTACATAAATGACGCGTCTCTCTCACGTGTACTGAGCCTGAAAGCGAACGAGAAGCGGACGGTAGATCGAAAGGATCGCGGCGCAGCCTGGCGTCAGCTTGTCCTGTCGTTTTTCGGTGGCGATCGGCCGTGTTCCCTGGTACCAAAATGCCGTCGATGCGATGGAGAATGTGCTCCTTAGGACCGCGAGTTATTTTAAGAGAACTGGTTTGGTCGCTGTGCTATATTTACTTTTCTCCGGCACGCCAAAGTCATTGACAGCGTCCTCTTGCACGGGCCTCACCTTCCTCGTCCTTCGAATTCGCCTGCAACATCCAGATCGATCCCAATCTTCTTCTTCTTCTTCTTCCATGCGTTTATTTTGACGCGAAGACGTCGGCCAATAGCACACCTTTGCAAAGACTTTGAAAAATCTCTTCCAGGCCATCGGATACGAGTTCGCGAGTTCAATTGGAGACGATTGCCGCAGTTTGAAGGAACAATGAGGCAAAAGCAATTTTAAGAATTTGAAGATGTGCTGAGACGCTGAATGATAGGGTTCTAGGGTCGAACGTTGAGCCGAGGACAATGGAGATTTAAGGTCGAATTCGATTCTTAGGTTCATTCTTGCGGGAAGCCATGTGTGTGGTGGAAACTTGCGGGGTTTTAGCGAGTTCATTGGAAAGTTGAATGTGCGACGTGTACGTACGTGCTGTGGCACTCTATTTCTGTGTTGTAGTCGATGGGCTGTAACGTTGTCAGCAGTAGACCGTGGATGTTTATATAAATTCGTATTATTTTCAAAATTGATCTCGTATATTGTACAGGAGCACCATTCGCTCACATTGATAGAATTTTGATAGAATCTTGGTAATGAAACATAAAATATAATTAATGGTACATGGCCAGATAGATAGATAGAAGGTATTATATAAATAAAATATGTTGCTAAATAATATTATATATTTAAAAGCTAAACAGATTATAGCCTTTCACATTATATAATCATACGTAATTATACCCTTAAATTATACAAATAGTGAATGAAATTCGAGATTTTATAGAATTGTTACCTTCCTATATTGCTTATTTATATTCCATTGAATTCGTTCGTCTTATGATTACAAGAGAATGATTCAACGCGATAATTTTAAATTTCACATATTCGCGAATTCGATTTAGAAATAAAACGAACATTCGAAGCGACGTTAATTTTATCTAAACCGAGTTGCTTACCGAAGTACTTTAGATTCCAGGTCAACAGGATAAAACTGTCTTTGTTATTTTCGTAAACGTTTATTCTTGCTTTGCCGGATATTTTTAGCTGTGACTCCGCTAACCACCATGCACCCTGTCATAGCTTGTACATCCGAAATATTGTTGCATCGAATTTATACGAAATTAATGCCGCCTCGCGAGTTAAGAACGAGAAAGTCGAAACTTTATAACGCGGGAGGAGAATGCGAGTCGGGAAAGTCGTAAAATTTCTGGAAGTACATATATTTAACTTACCAGTTTTATATCCGCATTTCAAACTGAAATAAATTTCTGCAAAGACATTAAACGTATTCAAACTGGAAGAAAAAATTCGGCAAGATATATAAAATATAAGTGTTTTTGTTTTTAAATATATAATAACAAATTTTCGCGTGTACGTAAATTGTCCCGTTATTTTTCATTATTTCGTAATACTCTAGGAAATTTTTATGGTCTACACGGTCTTTATTACGTTGAATATTACGATCTCGTGTTAGATTATGAATTTACATTTTATAATTGAAGTACTGCAACGACAGTTTCCGTATTTTTTAATCTCGTACTTTGTAAAGTTTTGTGGTTATTTCCATAGTTATTCAACCCTCCCCCTTCCCCTATCTGTTTCATCCAATTGTCTCACTAGATTATATATAGATTATTATAGTTTTCTTCATAGAATTTTATTGGAATCAGATATTTTAGCTTCATTTATTTTTGTACACACGTTAGAACATATAAACAAATTTTCTTAATACGATCTATAAACAGATTTGTCAGAAAAGTCTATAAACATAATTGTTACACAATTCGAATAAACATCTATAAACATAACGGGAGAATGAATTTAGTAATAAATATTCTTTATGAATACGTTGGTAATAAATATTCCTTTTCTAATCTTAGCATTTCTGATTTCAGGTAATGCTTCAATTACAACCAAGTTACGAAACATAATTTTCTGCTGTAAGTACGGGATAAAAGGTAATCTCAGTTTTGTGAGCTTTTAATTTCACGTAGAATTACGGTTCTCATTTTGTCGATGTAATTTTCCGTTAAATTAACGTATCCAAACATTGTTAGCTCTTTTCTCTAAAACATCTCGAATATTACGAATCGATTTTTTTAAAGATCCTGTCCGGATCATCGTAGATTCTTCTACAAGTACCTTAGAAGAGGAAATTATTTCATTTGTTTAATAACAAGTTTTGATTAACTTAAACGAATATCAGTTACTAAGGCAATAAAATATTATGCAAACGTTATTATATTTATAACGAAATACAATCTGAATTGTTTTCTTATCAAATTAAAAGCTAAAACATTTCTCAAACTAAGCGAGGGTAGAATCGATTGAAATAACACGCGAAACGGCACCATTATTCGTGAAATGGTCGAGTTAAACGCGCACCAGCACGAAGATATTTAGTTATTACGTTAGACTCGGCTTCGTCTCGTAGTTTAAACTGTCAGCGCAAGGTTTCCCCGGGGAATTCGCCGATTAGTTGGTAATGAGCGAGACATCGATGTATGTCACGTCAAACTTACAGGACACGCTGTGCGTTCCCGAGAACGTTTCAGCAACGGAGCGAATTTCTTGGTTAGAACGTGATCCACCGAACTCAAACGGATGAATTCCAATTAATGCATCTGCTTAATAATTATACAGTATTTACGATGTTGGCGTGAAACGCGGATCGTTCATCACTCTCCGGCATATTTCGAGGACTTTCAGATATTTATCGATTTTCTGGAGCGAGACGCTTGAAACGCGCTCTTAAACGGTCTTAAAGTCGCGTTCAACTTTCATTCGTTGTTTAACAACCTCGTGATTTTCCTTTCTTTCCTTTGTTTCCCGTACGTGACAATGAGAAGACAGATTGTCAAGAATGAACATGCGATTCAACTAGCGTGAACGAGCTTATAGGACGCACAACTCTGTTGATAAATATTTGGACAACTGTTGATATCAAAAAAAAAAAAAAGAACGTGACAATCTAACTATTTACAGCTGCTAAATAGATGAAAAAAATAAAAAGTCCCCGTAAGTTTCGATTAAATATAAAATGGAATTTATGGCGATTATTAAAAAGAAGGGAAAAGATTGAACCATTGAAAAATGTAGTGATTTGAAGCTTAGAAATAGAACGATTTTAATCTTGGTAAAGACTTTTGAAAATCTTCTTAGAAACTATTTACTGAACCATCTATGAGATGAGTAAAAAGAAACCGATACTTATCGAACGTCATATTTTTTCGTTTTTGGAAGATAAAAATTGAAAAAAAATCGAATTCAATGAAACGTATTGAATGTACAAGTTGTTCGTTCGTTGTGCTATTATAAGATAATCAATTCTATTCAACATCTATAATTTGAGGAACGAAATTTGATCATTCTATCCGAGTCTTCCTACCGATTATATTTAATTGAATCGTTATTGATTATATAATTCTGTCGTTTAAAGTAAATAATGAATAGACGCGAATGAAGTACATAACAGTTAAAAGGATTGTTAAAAGTCACAATGGACATAGACGTAAGAGAAACATAACAAAACATCGTTTGATCGTATTTTTATTACCTTATATAATAATATTAAACGTATTATTCCTCTATTATTTTACAAACTTCCAGATGAGATAATAATTCTCGGAACGTTATAAAACTTCCTAACAACTGTTCACGTTTACCTGACTGTTCCGCAATTATCCTTATGTACCGGAGCATAATCAGTAAGTAAATTGCTCGGAAACATCGACGTCAGATACCATGGTTAAGGTGAAAATTCGCCGAATCGTTGCCTTTCTCTCCGTTGATATCTCATTAACAGCGTCGAGGGCGAAACCATTATTGATGCAACGCTGTTTGAATCTCGCATCGCCTAAAGGCATAACACCGACACCTCACACGGCATAGTAATTTATGTATCGGGCTCGTGACGGTCTAGTTTCACCATTAGCGCATTTCTATACTTCTCTTCTTCCTTTCTCGCCGTCTTACTGCGTTTTTCTTACGCTCCTAATGTTACAGTATCCGGCATAATGATTTTATTCTTACAGTCGAGTCATTAAGGTACAGTAGTTCACAAAAATATTCCAACACTCGTTGTAAACTTTGTTGCCACTGTGCATAATGAGATACGTTTATCGCGATTGTAATAACAAAATTTGAAAAGCAATCTGAACATGCAAGTTACAAGACATTTATGGCAAACATGAACTTGGTAAAAAATTAATATACAATATGGATAGTAATCTTAAACGTACAATTAGCGTTACCGATAATCTCTAACGTAGCAAATAATTGAAGATGAATGCATAAGTAAAAGCGTGAATACAATGAAAAGCAGCTGGAAACCGGATCTTATGGAACGCTCTCAACTCGTCCAGAGCTCTAGACATCCGAAATTAACAGGATAACATTCAAAATTAATGAAGTTACGCTTAGAAACTCGCAAACTCTCTTCCACTTTCTACGCGCGGTTTATGCTTTATAATTAATCCAAACGCATCCTATTACGCCTCTAAACAGAAAACCTGTCTATCGTTTAATTATCAAAGATCGACATTCTGCCGGCTTCACGTCGAAATTCATGGTAGAACTGAGCGAATCGCCTCTATTCCCCGGAATACAATACAGTTAAATGTATTTCTGGCGTGCTCTGGCTGCTGTTCCGGAACACTTTGCGGCTCGCTGCGACGAATTTCCTTGCAACTTGCATACGCATAGCCACTCAGATTTGGAACTGTAACGAAGCGAACGCCGGGTCGAGACGATGCTCGATTACATCGGACGCTTGGAACGTGTTCCGCAAGAAAATTGTTCTTTGGCTACAGGAAAACTCAGCAGAAAGACAGCTATCTGAGTATTTTTCCTACATGTCTGGAATTTTGTACCGTACAGAGGAAACTTGCTTCTAATTAAATGGCGAAATAGGATTGCGTTTTTTGCTAGGAAGAAGTTTTGGAAGGCAATGAAAGAATAGAAAGTCAGGTTTTCCGCGAATACGTTGGAATTTCTGGTTACGGGATGCTGTTATTCGAAAGCTAGAGGAAGAAACGCGATGAGTACAGTTTGATTGATTTTCATGTAACTCTGTGATTAAAGGGGAATATTTTGACGTGGAATAACTGAAGACGAAAAGAACTTGATATTAGGTTGTGGATTATAAATCGTTGTTAAAACAAATAGTATTTTAATATCTTCGATATTTTACGACGAGAAAATGTTCCTCTCTAATCGCGAAGAAACGTAATAAAGACGTTCTATTCGCTGTAGTTACATTGATATTTTGCAAGAGAGAAAATTATTGCTTTAAAAATTGTGCCCCGTTGCTAATTGAGTAAAGAAAGTGTAGTGTGGAATTTTGTAATTGCGATAATCAAGCGACGAGAAGAAACGGTCAGCTACGGTTAGGAAGGAAAATTTGGCGTAACGATAACAAATAAGTAAAGTTAAAGCCGCCGATAATTGGACGAAAGAAAAAACACCGCGATTGAAATGGAATCTATCGAGATGATTAAATATCTTTCTACAATGAGATCGAGTCGTATTAAGTAAAATTATTGGTTAATTTATGAAACGCAAATAATTAATTATGGGAGAAAAAAAAGGTTTCTAATTACTATAATAGGGATTTAAAAATAAATAACGAATTTTCTGGGTGTATAAGATCTAAGAGAAATACGAAGGAATTTTTTTTATTAGCATAGAAAGTATAGCTTAATTAGCAAAAAGTCGGCAGCGAGGTACAAAACAGAGGCAGGTGCAGTAATTAGACAGCACCGAATACACATTAGGTTAATCTCATTTTATTTATTAATTCTCCCCTGCAAACGTTTGTTAAGGTAATTCTATGCATACGGATTAACATGAGTCGCGAGGAATTTAAATGACTGATTGTGAGTGAAATTTTTAATACGTATACCGGCTAAATTAATTACGACATCAGATCTTCGTACAATCTCGTTACATGCTCGATTATTAGGATCATACGTTACGATCGTTCCTTTACATTGCGTAAACTGTATATATTTTATCAAAATACTATCATACAGGTAAATAAATCGACTGCGAATTTTTATGAATTTATGCGAAATTTAACGATGCAAAGCAGAACGGACGTAGAATATATAAAGATATAGAAAATACTTGAAACAGAGTACTCGATAGAATTGTTGACACGTATAAAACGAATCTCTATTTAAATTGCGCACTTTGTTATTTTACAAGTCCACGGCCCGTTTATAGGCATAAAGTATCTCTACATCCTCCATCACTCTATTCTTCTCATCTTTCATCCAAGAATACCAAGCTATCTTCTAAATCCTCATAAACATTCATGGTAACAATTACCAGTCGCCACCAGCGACGTCCAAAAGGACCGAAGCAACTCTATACGCGCTCTAATCTCCGAGGAACGCGTGATCACGCGAAGAGCATTAGAAATAGAATATTCACGGCGCCGACATGGGACCACGAAGAAGAGTCAGGCGAAGAGGAAGTGTAATAATTGGATGTCAACAGGCGCGAGTGCGCGGAACATTGGCGCACGTACGATTCTGCTAAGCGCACCGTTCCATCCATTCCAAGCCATCTTACGTCTACCACCGCATTCTACATTCTCGTTCATGTTATTCGAGCAAAGTTATTTGAGTCACTTAAGCTTCGACATTTTAAAACTCAATCTCAAACTTGCCACGGGATAATCAAACTTGTTGTACGCTATGAGACAGCATTAATATTCGATATAAATAATAACGATAGAATGGGAAAATATCTGACGCTTTGGATCCAGCAAAGAGAAAATATCAAAAATGAGAAAGCGATTCGAATAATTCTACGGTAGAGTTATTAGAGTCAGCGAGAAAGCGTTACATAAGAATAAATAAAAAAAAATGACAAACTAGCTTACGGAAATAAAATTATATTCGTACGTTACCGAATTATGACGATTATGCATAAG